TTGGTATAAAAAAATAAGAAAAAAATTGTGTTAGATGAAAAAGAAGCGAAATTATATTATATGAGTGATCATATTTTGATTGCGCGAAGAATGGAAACTTGCAATATAGTATTTGTCAGGTGTTATGAGAAGCCTGTTCAAGAGATCAGGGTTAGAGTTAACTCTTGATGGTTTCCTTGTAAATATTTCTCTGAACATTCTGTTGTTCTTCATTCTTGGGTTTCTTCAGAGAACTGTCCACTAGAGAGATTGAAACTTTTCATTATATCCCTTCCATGGAATATAATCTTCTGGAGAATTGCGGGCATGCAATATCAGTTGAAGATACAAGTCACAAGTGTCATTAACACCTTTTTCGAAAATTATTGAAGATAATATTTTCACCACTGTTTAGGCATTCTAATATGAGTCCAAAACGCCTAATTATATCCATGATTTTCCAGGTAATTTCTAAATTACTATTGACACCTTGTGTTTTAGGCATGTCGACTAAGTACTAATTACGGACTGTTTTTTTTAACATTTTTTGTTCCTTTACGACACTTTTTCATTTTCATCTCCTCTTTCGTGGCTTGCCTGCATTTCCAATCGATGTGAAATGTGCAGAAGACACTCAAATAGCGTTAGCCACGAATGAATAGTTATTTCAAAGAAAATATATTCTTCCTTCACTTTCTAAAGATGTTTCTTGATAAAACAATCTGCACACTTTCTTAATTGTTGTACATCTGATAGGAGAAGCAATTAAAAATTCCTTTCTATATGTAAGCAGATTTTTTTACCTTCTTTTTTTAAAATTTTATTTCAGGTGTTCTCAGTTTTTCAGTGGATGAATTCTGTTTCTTAGCTTTGTGTACAGACCCCACAAACGAAAAGGCTTAAATGGGAGGCCAATCACTATACTCACATCATCTGATTTTGAAGTGTTTGTACAAATTTTCAATGAACTTGTATAAAATTTGATGTCTTCCTGAAGCCACGATGAGAAATTTATTTACAAAATGCTGTTTATGCCTAGCACATTTTCCCCAGTTTTTTGTTAATGAATAACAAAAATCTCTCGTTTGAGTTTTCATCGCTCTTATTGAAGTGTAATAGTTTCTTCGCCTAATTCGTGTAAAATATGAGAAAGTACGGCGTAATATCACGCCTCCGTGGAGCTTTCGTATCAAACATTAAATAACGACCTCCAAGAAATTGAGTGCTGCTCTGCGAAAAACAATACACTCTTGAGTGCGCAGGTACGCGCAACTGATCTCCCATAATTTCAGTTGCCAAAAGAACTAAGATTAATGTCTTTATAGCCATAAGCGTCAATTATGGTAAATTCTATATTAAAGGTTAGATAAATTTGTAAAACGGCGTCAAAATAACATTTAACTTTCTTCATAACACCCCGCGATAATCAAGAGCACTTATCTTGAGGTTCTACTTAAAAGAAAAAACCTTCGAAACCACAATTTGTGAATGACTATGGTGATATAAGTGCCATTTGGTGCAGAGTGATTTTCAACACGATATATAGTGAAATGCAACTGATACATCCGTTCGGCGACAACACAAGATCGTGCATATTTGAAGTTGTTCTACTGCTACCTCAAGCGATTCATAAGAAAATAAATTTCCATTGTACTATGTACTACGGACCTTTTAAAATCAAACAAATGCCTCAGATAAACAATCTGAGTAATTAGAAAATTGGACCTTTTCCCAGCTAGATGGCCATAATTACACACTGGGCAGTGGTCACATTCGACATAGCTATCGAACCTAGTGTCGAAAATCTTGCTCCCGGTCAGAGGCACTGCAATGACATCAATATTGATACCCTGAGCCACCTAAGCCGGAACTGACACGATGGAAAGAGGGCTGTGTAAAAGGGGAAAACTCCTTCAAAGGCCAAGTTTTTTTCGGTGAAACCTGCGCTAAAGCAAGCTTGACGATGTAGCGGTTATTTGCGATTTTTGCGATTTTTTTGTGTCTTTCTGAATGATATAATACAAAATAAAAATATTACAAAATAATTTGTATATCTACCCATTTGAATGTATTTCTAATAGCTCCATCTGAAAGACGTCAAGATTCCTTAGCATGTTTTGGGCATTTTATACATCAATATACTGAATTACTTACAATCAGTATAATACTTGTTTATATTAATTTTCAGGAAAGTAGTTCTTCGCGTTAAACTATTTTTTATAATTTTTAAATTATAAATGGTGATTAAAATATTTATTTTTTTGTTTTAAAATTCCTTTGACAAAAAAATTCTTATTGCAAAAAAATAATTAAATATAACATTATTACAATACTTTTGGTTACATAAATTAAATATACTCGTTAATTCCACGAAAAATCATTATCACTGCATTAATTTTACGCGTGCACTTGACATTCCACAACACCCAATCACAACTCAGAGAAAAATAATGTAATTAACTCAACAAAAAAAGAATACAGTAAACAGATAACATTAGTTCATTTTAAAACCTTTATGAACAAATACTTAATTACGGATACTTAGAGATATTAATATTGCAAGTATAATTACTCGAACTGGAGAATGATTTCCTCTTACACTTGGCTGTTGTAATATGAAATATCAGTATTGTTTTTCACATGCCACATTATCTTCAGAATTGATTAGTATGGCTACAAGCACGTTCCTTTGACACTAGCAAACAAATAGAAGAAAACGAAATATTAATCATGAATGAATTAAACGTATAAATGAAATATAAATTTGGTGGAAGCATATTGCGAAACATATTTACATTTTTAGCATTTGCAAATATGAAAAAATATAACCATCAGTTCTATTTACCCTTTCTGAAAAGCATGCAAGCAAAATCTTTTCTGAACCGAAGTGACTTGCTTTTTCATTTTTAAGATTTATAAATATTACTGTATCTTGGATCCGTGTTTTCACTTTCGCTAGGAAATAACGTTGGCGTTGTATTCTGAGCTTTGTCTAGTGTATCGAATTCTACGAATCAGAAATATGACTAATATCTCCCATTTTAATACATTATTATACTCTAAATCACTGGAGTGATCATAAGTCCTCAAAGCAAGATCCACTAAAATGAATCTTGTTCAGAATGCTCGCCACGTTCAGGGCGAATCTGACGTCACTGAATGAATGGCTCAACTAGTAAAGATATGCGAGTACCTCTCAAAATTAAAACTACCCTTAAATTTAAACAAAAAAACATTCTATGTACCAGTGAGTAAATGGTTACAATTGCACTCACGGTAATCACGAAAATTTGTTCATGTCGTTGTTTCTCTAAAACAAACCACTAGTGCTCGTATCCTCTTCTTTATTCACTATCTTCGTCAAGTCCTATAGGTATACACGAACTCTTTTTGAAGATGTTTCTTCACTCTTTGACATTTTTCTAGGACGTTCATTAACATTCATTTATCATTATTGAATGTGATGAGTATTGAAGACCAGGATTACAAGGAAAAAGGATTACTAAGGAAACGTGGATGAACGGAATGCATAAGAAGAGGGCTGGACATTTATCATGAGCGACATTTATTACACAAACTTTACTTTTACTTCATGTATCACATTTAATAAAATTCTGTGAATCATTCAACCAAAATATGCACTCTTAGGGCAAGAATAACACTGTGTGGCTATGCGCAGTGATCAGCAACTGTAGTACAAATGTCACATATATTTTTTGTCTCTAATTACGAAATTGCACTTACAAATTACCCTCGTATAAGTACTTATTTTTATGCTGATATTTATTACATAAAAAATTACAACAGGACGGTGCGGCGTGAACACAGCAGAACCTTCGACCTTGTCGTCCGTCCAGCGTTCGCAGTCACGGCCACGACTTGAGACGTGCTAAAATGGTGGCGAGCCACTGTTCCCCGAGCACGATTCGGCAGCGCCTTCGCGGCACACGCGACTCCCTCACTGCGTCCTCGTCGCCACCGCCGTCGCCACCGCCCCGCCACCAGTGCCTCATTAGTCACGTATGGGTGCCCTCGACGCGCGAGCGGAGGGAGGGTGGCGCGGCGGCGGGCGGGGCGTGGGGTGGCGTAGCAGGCGGCGCAGACGGGGAGGAAAGGAGGCGGAACGGAACACGAGCGGGGCGGGGCCGGGGCCGGGGCCCGGGATGGGAGCAGAGGCGGGAATAGTCTGGGGCGGGGCGCCGAGCTGGGTCGTGAACGAATATGGGGCGGAGGGAGGAAGCGGGAGCGAGGAGGAGAGAGGCGGGCGGGGCGGGCGGCGGCAGGAAGAGGCGCGGAGAAGGGCGAGGGCGCGGCCTGGGGGAGGGGGGCGGGGAACGCAGGTGCCCGGTTGCGGCCCCGGCGCGGTCGGTAATTTTCCGCGCCCGCGTCGCCCGAGGGCTGCGCACGAGCTGCCAGCCGCCGCCGCCGCCGCCTTACAATGGCATGCCTCGCGCGCAAGTACAACTAGACCAGGCCCCCTTTGCTCGTAAGTCAAGTCTACACAGCACGTGTAAGACGAAAGTTTGATAGGATACAAGAAAACCAACGACAACAACCCACTTCTGGCAAGTATGGGAAGTTTCTAGTACGAAGTGAGGCCCTTGAACACATGCGACATAGCAGCACGTTGCCTAGATTTATTAAAGGTGCATTCAGTTGATTAAGGTTCAATAAAGTTAATCATCTTCCATTGCAGTGCTTTTTGTTGCTTAAAAAAAGCGTTTGTACCTTTGATATTTTTTTTTCTTTCTTTCAGATTTTCCCTCTCCAATATCCCTGGAAAGGCGGGAGTTAATTCATGTAACGGAATATGGGATCATTTGATATGGCAAGCAACACGCAAGCGCACACACTTATATTAATACATAATACTTTCTCATTAACACATAATACGTCGTTTTCTTGAACTCTTAAACATTTAAAAATACGGGTATTTACGGCATGTACGTTCCCAAATATAATGTTGTTATACGGCATAAGTATAATTTAATAAGACGTTCATTCCCATTTTTGCGCAGTCTTTATGATTCGTCCTTGAAAACCAAGTGTGAATGAAAAAACTCAGGAATTTCAGAAGTACTAATTCTTGATCTTGATAAAACATTCTGAATCGAGGAACAATTATCACAAATTGTAGTGTGTTCTATCTTCCTAATACAATATGTTCATTTTCCATTAAACAAAACAAAATTATCTGCAATAACAATTACAACTTCAACCAAAATGAAGCACAAAATACGACATAACTGATTAAACAGTCATATGAATCAATTTGGTTGACTGTATTTACATATACAAAAATTAAAAATAACGAGTGGAACACCTTAAATTTTCAAAATTATATAATTTACCCTATAGTCATTCAAGTCAAAACTAATGTTCCTGTAAAATGTGAAGCGCAACTTCTATATGCCTTACGAAACCAGTAATTAAGGCATATACCATACGCCTTTACAAAACCAGTAACCAAAATTTGGTTGCCAATATTTGGTTACCAATATTTAATATTATATCACATTTCAGTTCCCACAAACTTAGGAGACAATAAAAGAAAATATTCAACTAATATATTTCCATTTGATCAAATACGTAAACTAAAGCATCAAATGCAATCTAAATACACTGTATGCTTCTCCAATTGATATGTTGCAAGAGCTCTTACTGCCGTGGCTTACACGAAGCTAGTGAATCATTTCGTCATCGCTGCAACCAGCTGGAATATCTTCCAGATATGGATAGTTCTATTAGACATACATGCACATAACGTCGCTAAAGTAGAATATAAAGTTATATCGTTTAAGTAAATGGAAAATCTTCAGTGAAATATGGATGCTCCGTGCTCCACGCTTTGCATGCAAGCAGACGTCGAGTTGCGCCAAAGCTCTTAAGCGAGCAAGCGCACCAATCCTCTTCCCTGCATACACGGGTTCGTTTACATATTCTAATGTTAGACCTTATGCACAATACAACAGTTCGCTTAAAATTGCGATTATGGAGGATGCATAAAAAACATAATAGCATGTATTTTATATGAACATAAATTCTTATGATGTAGCCTAGAAAGTAGGTAATACATTCTCAGTGAGATTCAGAGACTTTTTGCAAAAAAATCTCACGAAACAATAGAGAACCATTTCGTCATACCAAATAATAAACTAAAAATCAGATTAGATTTTCCTAAGTATTAACTCTCCACCATATCCAAACAGTCGGCTGGGTTTTACAAAACTATGCAAATATTCATTTCAAATATAAATAATAGAAAATATAACACAAAAAATTGTCAACTCCTTCAGCAATGGATGTCCCAATCTAACCACGCTGAGGAAGAGCAAGATCACCTCATGTGTGGGAAATACGGGCGACAATCAGAGGCTGCCACAAATATTCAAATCAGCCCATCGTCGTCCGATTACGAAAACTCAGCCCCACACAGAGTAAAAAGAAGTCCAAACCAAGTTAAGTCGATCCAAACCCAAACGCGCGAACTTACTGCCCGAGGAGGAGGAGGAGGACGCGACTGCAGCGGCGAGGCGGTTCGCGCGAGGGACCTGTGGACGGCACGGGGGCCCGAGCGCGAATCCGGGCTGAGCCGGAGCGCGTCTCGGCGCAGCGCTGCGCCGCGCCGCGCCGCGCCGTTTGTTTGGCCAGGCGCATCCGGTGCAGCCAAGGCGGCGGGCGCTGCACGGAGCAGCGCAGCGGCGGGCGGCTATGACGTCAACGCCGGCTATAAACTATTTAGCGCCAACTGCACGAAGCTCGTGTGTTTATGCAGGGAATACACAGGGGAGTGCCCGCCCGCGAGCGCTGCTGCCGCTGCCGCACGCCTCCGCCGCGAGCGCGCTCGCGCGTTGCATCGCGACGCGACGCGCCGAGGCGGCGGTGCGCGGCGCGCGGCGGCGGCGGAGCGCCGGCGCACGGGCTGGGACCGTGCTTAGGTCAGGTCTGCAGGGGTGGCCACGGCGTCGTGACGAGGTCAGGGAGTGCGGCCCACACCCTGCCACGCCCAACGCCGCGTTTGCGTCGATCGCGCTGCCGCCTTCTCACCGCCCACGCCGCCTGTTGCGACCACAGCCGCACCCCTCGACGCCCACCGCCACCGCCCACCGCCCACCGAGGTACTCCCGAGTGGCGTGGCACGACTCCCGAAAGGAACAGGCGCCTGTGCGACGTGCTGTGCAGAGCACGCGGAGGATGATGTGCCGTTTTTAATACTTATTTTCTAATACTCCGACTAGACATCTTACAAAATAACATAGAAATATTATAGAAATGCATAGTTAGAATATCACGAAGAGAATATCAGTAGTTCAATGAAAGTAATTGCTTTAAGATGTATAAGGATGTAACCACCAAAAATCTTCCATCCCGAAAAAGTTCCAACACTTCAAACGCGAATCTCTATTTGCGGATTCTTCCCATTACAATACTTTTCGAATGTATTTGTCTTCTTGCATCTCAATTCTTTTAGATGTTTCATTTTCGTTATTTAAACACATGTAACATGGCATTTGTTTCAAGAAAACCCATTTTCAATAAGCGAATATAACCTGACTTTAAATACCGTGAAACCTGATTCAGAATTTGATGGTTTCTTCAAACAATTCCGTCTTGAGAGGTTATATTAATGTTCTCTAAATTTATCACTTTTTTTGGTAAAACGGATCTGGAAGATTTAAGATTCCTCTATTAAAGAAGGATCTGCCGGATATGCAAATTAATTAAATTATACGAAGAATCTGCAAATAAAAAAAACAATCAATTTTCTTTCAAAAAATGTTCGTTTTAGGCAAAATTTTTGCAATCCATTTACATCTACAACAGCTACTACCCATTATTCCAACTAGGCCACATTTGGCCTGGAGAAGTTGCCCCCTCACCCCTCCTTGAAATGAGATCAAAAAACGCGGTGGATGACGCCCATACTCACTAATGGGAAGCGTATGGTATTTGTAAGCAAATAACGCGGGTAAAATAGCTAACTGAAGGCGTGGGAGGAGGAAGAAAATGAAGATGAGACGCAGAATGTGTGAGAATCATGGCCGGCAGATGATTTGCAAGGTAGCGCACACTGCACGTAACAGACCTACTGCACGCTGTTTGCGAAACGGCAGGTAATGAAACATGTTTGTACATCCATGTGCGTGGAACGTTCTAACAATAAAAGAATCGAAACGTATCCTTTGAACAGTCTACCCTTTATCTAGAGCCACGAGACAACACGTATGACAAACGGACTGTTCCAGACAACGTAAAAAGTACTAATTACCATCGTTGCACAGCTGCACACATGACAAGCGTATACATGACCTTCTGTTTCTATCTTTCCTTTTGCTACGTAACAAAACATGAAACAAGTTTCTAGTAAAATAATATTAGTCATAAAAGCACGACTATTCAATCATTATACAAACATACTGTACAACGGTGTGCAAAGAGACAGATTACGAAAGAGAATAACTACGAGCTTATTTGCAAAAACTTGCTAGGTACTAGTTAGATAACAAACATTTAAAACTGGCAAGTAGAAACCTTATAATAAGCTTGTTATCTGTTTTACAAAGTCAATTTTCTGAAGTAAAAACTGAAAATTTCTTTAGGTTTTCGCACCACTAATAGCAAAAACGTACATACGACGCATGAAACTGACAGCCTCATGATACGTGATGCAATCGGCCGTCACCGGCTGGGTAATTCCCAAACAAAGTGATTACTGGGGGATTAGGATGTGCACATGTTACAGTGCGCTTATTAAGAAGAAAATGATAAGGAGCCGGTCCATCCAGTCCAACATTCTCCGCGACCCGCTCTCAGAGCCCACATAGCGTCTCGCAGCCACGACAACCTCATTTTACACTCACGTGTGCCTACAATACCTTTCATTTTTTGATTATTATAATATTTTTTTAATTTTCATTTGTTTAAATTTCATTATATTTTATTTGCTCGGGGGGAACCATGTTTGCTCACCTCACAGACAGTTGGTACTTTATATCGCAAAGAAACAATAATACTATTATATATATATATATATATATATATATATATATATATATATATATATATATATTTCTTAGTCAAATCCATTTGGACACATACTGTGCGTTTATTCTAATATAATTTGTAGTTCTTGAAGGTTCTTTGCATGTGTATTATTTTAAGTGAATCGTGTTATTTGGATTGCTTTTTTTTAGTTCCTCAACCTACACAATGACAAGTGAACGTATACGATAACATTTACAAGAAAGTTTATGTGGACCTAAAATAAACATTACTCAATTACAGTACAGCAGAGAACCTAGGAAAACGGTATAATTTTGGCGAACAAATGCATACTACTTTTGTTTAAAAGACATAAGAATACGTGAGAAAAGTTGCCAGTTTTCCCTGAAGAAATTATTTCGATTTTTTATTGAAGACGTCAGCATGATAAATACTCGCACTAGCTATCGGACAGCTGAGACGTACAGAGATTTGCCGCGGATGCCTGTGAGCCCTTCAGCCGCGTCAAGGACCGAAACCGGCAGTAAAGGGCGCATCAGACTCATTCCTGGAAAGGCAGTCGCATTCTAATGCCGCAGAGGTGACAATTTCTCTGCGAGTGCCTCACCGTCCGACGTGCAGCTTCCAGCTGGGAGCGCCCATACGAGACATCTCGCCCTCGTTCTACTCGCCGCTCCTCGCAGGTCTGCCTTCAACTCCGTACACCAGTGATCCTCACGTGGAGAGTACGTGTTATAATAGACACCTCCATCATTTTCGATCGCCATCCAACATCGCCAGTGGATCACCCAGTCATTGTCAACGCCAGTATTCACGAGGTGGGACGAAGCCAGCGAGTATTCACTCAGCCAACAAAAAATGATTCAAGATTTTAGATTTTTGTGCACTTGTAAACACAACCATGCGAAATACTGATTTATAGCCTTTAAAAAATGAATAATTAATTTCTGGGTAATACTTGTTTGACTTCTATTAATCGAAGGATACTTAAAAAATATACCCGCAAATATTTGGAAGTCTGTTTAGAGAATTGCTGTTGACCTCTTTGGAAAGCTACACTTTTGTAAACGACATTCTATTCTGCATTCTCCCGTACATAACCTAAAATGCACATTTAAAAATTAAAAACCGGAATTATTCATTGTAAATATTATATGAAGGAAAAACCTCTATCTTCAATAATGAAGTTGTAGGAAGACGCCAGGAAACTCAGAGTTATACCTGAAAATCAAATATATTGCCATCTTCATAAGTGTTTTTTGTCTATTCTTACAAGAAATTTAATGAAAAACTTGCTTTTTTGATAAAATTTTGAAAATG